TTTCCCAATCATTACCAAATGAGTTAAATCATAATACTTATATAGTCTCAATGGATGTTATGAACCTATATAGCAACATCCCACATTTCTATGGAATAGAGGCCTTTAAATACTGGCTAGAAACGTTCCCTCATGAGCTACCAAATCATATCAATGGAAATTTCATCATAGAAAGCCTTGAATTCATCTTAAAAAACAACTATTTCATGTTCAATGAAACACCCTACCAAATAAAATCACGAACAGCCATGGGATAGCATGAACTAAAGATCTATAAAAGAACCTCAGAAATCCATGGGGATGACTTTAGTTACTACATAAAAGAAAACTGGAAAAGATATCTAAATGACTGTTTCATACTTTGGACTGAAAATCTTGATAAACTAAGATCATTCCAAGCATCCATTAATAATATAAATCCTATCATCCAATTTACTATCAAGTACAACAACAAAAAACTTCCCTTTTTAGACATATTAATAACAAAAAGAAACACAAAACTAGAAACTGACATATATTTTAAACCTACTGACTCTTGACAATATCTACTTTTTACATCTTCCACTCTGAAATATACTCATATGATCATCCCACTCAACCTAGCCAAGCAAATCTATACAATAGTCTCAAACACAACAAGAGACAACATACTAGAAGAAATGAAAGATAGATCCAAATTAAAAATTAAAAATGATTTATCATATAACTCAGAGAAGTTAATATACATAATAACATGCAAATGTTGCCACAAGCATTACATTAGCCAAATCCAGCAAAAGATGACAGTTCATCACCAATAAATTAGGGATCCCCACATCAGAAAAATACCCCTTAGCCAACATATAGAAGAATGTGGAGGATGAAATCTGCCAATATTTTAACATCTTCCTATTCTACCAATGCAACTACAAAACCACCGAACAAAAGCATATTAATAAGGAAACCTTTTTTGTCAACAAATTTAAACCAATAATCAATTCATTGCATAAACCAGAGGCATATCCCTCAAAATAGATCCTACCATATTTTCCTTACCATAAGCGACATATAAAGACAGTTACAGCTCTTGAGTTTTTCATTTGTTTAAAACACAAGTGTCAACACATGAGAATATAAACAGTTACAGTTACCATAGTGATATATAAAGCCACTTACGCCACTTGATTTTTTCATTTGTTCAAAACAAAAATGTCAGCACGTGGAAATATAAACAGTTACAAATATTTTGTAAAGCTAAAAACGAAACCAGTTAAAGTAAAAAAAAGTAAAACAATTTGAAGTAAAAAAAGTAAAACAATTTGAAGTAAAAAAAGTAAAACAATTTTTTCTGAAAACCCATTTGTAACTAACACATTTTTAATTTTAATATTTCTTTGTAAAAATACATGTATTATAAATATTACATATAAATAAATGTAAATATTAGGTGTTTTTTCCAAATCTTATTCTCTCTCTCCCTCAATCTCTCACTATGTGTGTGTGTGTGCGTGTGTGCGTGTGTGTGTGTGTGTGTGTTTGTTTTTTTGTTTGTATATACATGTTTCATTAAAGCCTACTTACGCTACACCTACATGGCCATAGCTCCATTAGGACACACACAAAAATATACCAGACTCCATCTGAAACATACTAGTAGAAAACACAAGTATAATAATTCACATGTAAAAAAGGATTAAAAATAATGGAAGCACTAATAAAAAGGAAAAGCCAACACTTGATAACATTAACTATGAACATGGCCACAATGTACTGACTGTGTTTGTAAAATAAAACACTCTTATAACTTCAGACAGATATATAAAATCCCACATATTTAGTTAAGAATAAAAAAATTTAAATCACCCTTGATAATGGCTAAAAGAATAGCTGAAAGTGCTTGGATATGCAAAACTTTTGGCCATTTTTTTACACACTTTGTGTCCAGAAAAGAAAACACTTGTACAAACACAAAAAATTAAATAAAAAGAAGCTTAATTGTAGTACATTTGTCAATCATCTTCAATGAAACATGTATAAAAGGGGGATTGCTGCGTAAATACATATATATATATATATATATATATATATATATATACACACACACTATTCATTAGTAGTAGGTTATTCTTGATTGATTTTTTCTTGTGCATTTTATATATTTAATGATATAAATGATACCCTGAGTTTAACTATTAATAAATATTTTATGTGTTCATTATATTTCAGAAATATTTTCAAAAATAGTTTATAAAAATATTTTTAATCACTGACAAAACAGAATGCATGTTTCAGTTTTAAAGTAAAAGCATTTTGACCTAAGCAACACTGAATAACTTAAATACAACTGAATAAGGCTGAATACAAGAAATTATAAATTGTTTTTAAAGCCAGAATTTGCATCAGCAGGAACATTAATTAAAATCCTTTTAAAATAGTGATTGCTTTCTCATTTTTATTTTTTTATAAAAGTATGAAGCCAGCTCATTGTTTTGTAAATCTGTAAAATTTTTGTAATTTAATTTCCATTGTTAATATTTCATATGATCTTTATATTATTTAGATTTTTACTCTTTATAACATTAGTATGATCTTTAGTTTTTAAAAGAGAGTTATTTTAGATATTGAAATATCAGAACAAACATTAGATTTTTGCTGTATAATAAATATAAGAATAGGAATAAATATTTTCTTTTAAAAAATATTATGGTATAAATCTACAAGCATATGCTTTATATTCTAATGATTTTGTCACAAAATTCTTTGGTGCCAGTGCTATTCAGAGCCGGTTCCTTTCCCAAAACACTGAGAGCTTTCTTATTATATGCCAAGTAACATGGGTTCATTGGCTGAGCCCCTGCCTTCAGGACGTTTCAAAAACATTAAGAAGCAAGTCTTGTCAGACCTAATATATAAGACCTTCTCAATTTAAAACCTTCCTTTCTTTATTGAATAAAAAGAAAGTAAAAAGCAGCAGTAGCAGCCAGTGTGTGCACGTGTGTGTGTGCGATTGTGTGTGTATAAAAGAGTGCATATGCATGCAGTTGTATGTATGTGCATATATAGGGAGGGAGGGGAGAGAGAGAGAAAGAAAGAAAATAACACATCATCATAAATGTAGGCACCACCTGCAGACTTCACTGCAGGCTGTAGACAATCGCATCCTTGCATCTCCTGGGGTTGCTCTCCTCAAAATAGCCTCCCAATCAGTTTAAGAAATATGAGTGACTCATCTGACCACATGATGTTCTTCTTGTCAATGGTGAGGTCTTTTTCTCAGGAGGTCCCACTAGACTTCATTCTTTCATTTAGTGACAAAATCAATGGCATAGGATGGATAATGGCCAGCATCCAGTCATTGGATGCTATAAGTTGTTAGAGTAGAGGAAATAAGGAATTTACTTACTGGAAAAAGCACTAGAAAAAACATAATCTTTTACTTGCTTAATTTTGGAGATGATTATGCCAACCAAATGAGTCAGTTTTGAAGTTGAGCAATCTTCCTACACAACTAATTATTTCTTTGGCATAATTAGTAACACAGTCTACTATAGTTTGCTATTTGGTTTAAATAATATATTCTTTTAACTATTAACCAGGCAGTATTTTGTGCAAGAATTAAGAATTCTTAAAGTTGATCACATGTTAAGAAACATAGGAAAACACACACACACACACACACACACACACACACACACACACACACACACACACATATATATATATTCATTTAAAGATTACAAAGAAGAATAATTGTAAAAGAAGATAGTGAAATGTGGAAGTGGTAGATAAGAGAAGACGGCACTGAGCCCTTTGCTTCATCATAATAAAAAACGCACACTGAATAGGGATATTATCATAACATCTTTCCAGTAGAGCAGAATATGTTTTCCCAGGTCTAGTTTATTCTATGACAATTACATAGAATTGCAAAAGATCTTTTGTTGTAGGCTATGAATTTTTAAAGTAGATGTTAAACATCTTGAAACTGAGATTAAAAAATTTCTCTTTTTAATCTAGCAAGAGAATTTTGGATGGAAGATAACTGATTCTATGAAGAGAAAATGTATTTCACTTTGATATACAATGTGTGTAATTTTATACTTTTATAAATATATTAATTAAAATAAAGTAAAATGAAAAACATTCAAGAAGTTCCTTAAGTATATTTTACTGTGACAATATAGTTCTAACTATATAAAAATAAGGTTATGTATGAGCAATGCATCTGTTTTAGTATACGTGCATCTCTGAATATATAAATACATTCAGAATGTTACATGTGCATCTGTATACATACATACATAGATACATACATTGTTTATATATTTGTTTATCTCTTCTCTTTTTTTTCTCTCCATCTGATTTTTCTTCCTATTTTGGCTTTTCTTTCACTATCTCTCTCTCTCCTCCTCTGTTTTTTATCTATCTATCTATCTATCTATCTATCTATCTATCTATCTATCTATCTATCTATCTACACATACATACAAACATGCATACTCAGAAATCATAGTGAACCTATATAATTTGCTTTTACATCTTGGAAAATAATATATTTTACAATTTTAGAGTACAAAGAACAAAACCAGGATTACCGAAATAATATTGGAATTGGCAATCTTTTTCTTTACCTTTGTGTAGGCCCGGCATGTGGCCAGAAAGCTATTAGCTATTATGTTTATTATTTATCCACCACAGGGTCATAGTTCAAGTAGTTATTTGGCCGTCTTGCAACTCTCCAGAGAATTTCCTTCTACATCTTTCCATCTTCAATGCTCATTGCATTCCCTTCCCATTATTACTTCCAGCCATGCTACTCGTCATCTTTTTGTGTTTTCATTCTCTAAAGAATACCTTTAATTTTTGTTCTGCACATATGCAATGTGAGTTGCCAGAATTCAGACGATGGCCATTTTGTGAAAGTGTCGTGATGGGTGGGAGTAGGAATCGATTGGTGTCAGCAAATCTCCAGAGTGAAAATAAGGAAAAATGATTGGTTGAGTGATTAACACTTCAAATCACTACATGGATTCCTTCCTTCTTTTCTTCTTGAATTGGTATGTTTTTTTGCGTGGAAATTGAAATAGGGGAAAGAAGAAGAGAGGGAGAGAGAGGGAGAAAATAAAAGATAAATAGTGAAATAGAGAATAGAAGAGATAAAAATAGAAGAGAAAAGGAAGAGGCAAACAAATAAAAAATATGAAAATGAGATTATTGAAGAAAATAAAAGAAAAAGAAATGGAAAAGTGAAAGGACAAAGTGAGTAAGAAATTAAGAGAACAAAAGAAAGAGAAAGATAAAAATGATGAGATAAGAAAAATGAAAAGAGAAAAGAAGAAAAAGGATGATAGAACAGGAAAAGGAAGAAAAGAAAGAAAGAAAGAAATAGTATGAAAAAGTAAGAAGGAGAAAGAGGAGTAATACAAAATTAGAATAATGGAAAAATGCAGAATGAAAGCAGAAAGTAAAAACTCATAATTGTAAGTAGAAAGTGATAAAGAGAGAAAAAGACACAAAGAGAAATTAGAAAGTAAAATAGAAAAAAAGGAAAAGAAAAAGTGAAGAAAAGAGAGAGCATAAAAAAATAGAAATACAAAACAGAGACAGAAAAGTGAATAACAAAATTAATATATATATATATATATATATATATATATGTGTGTGTGTGTGTGTGTGTGTGTTTCTTTTAATATACACACAGGGGAGAGGAAGAGAGAGAGAGAGAGCATGTGTGCAAAAGAGAGATAAAGAGAAAGATATTTGTAAGAATTTGGTTTGCTTACTTTAGATATTTTTATGTTTAATCAATTCTGTAAAAATATGTTTTATGATGATAATCTATGAGCTTCAGTTTGAGTGGAAAAGTAAATGATATTTAAAAATTTAGAAAAGTTTGAAAAAGATACAAAGAAGCTGTGAAGATTTATTTGAATTTCCTTCCTTTCAAATAGAGTCACAGGGATGAACAATTGTGTTATGAAACAGAAGAGAGCAATAATGAAAAGGAAGAATCATGATAACACAAACATTTCCGGTAGAAAAGTTTCTTATAAAATGATAAACAACTGATTATGAAGTGTTACCAAATTACTAAACTAAATGTGTATAATGTTAACAATGATAATAATTTATTTTCTCTTCTTGATTGGAGAAGATTTACAAATCATTTGTGTGTCTGAAATTTATAGCAAAAATGTTGAAAAAGGCAAAAATGGAAATTTTTAAAGGTTAATTTTGATGCATTAAGAATTGGAAAAGCAAAGGATTTATATTTACTTAGTATAATTAAGTGGTTTAATTCACAAAACTAATATGAGAAAATAGAGAAGATAAAATAAGAAGAGGAAAGGAAAAGGACCATAAATTAATGTTTAGCAAATAGTTTGTTTTAAAGCAATGTTCATTTTAACTCATTATGTGTGTAGATAGTAAGTAGGCAAAATGTATATCTATTTTATTTTATTTAAAAAATACAAGACTAAAATATATTATTTGAGAAACTAAATTGTCCATATTAATATGGATTTGAAAGATAAATTTATTTATAGTCAATAAGAAAAACACAGCAACCCTTAAAAATGATGAAATATATTTTGTAATAAAAAATAAATTTGCATACTATCATTCAAAAGGAAAAGAAAAATCACTAATTACAATTTTTTCAGGATGATTTTAGTGAATATCAATAGTAAATTAACTATATAGAATAAATAGCTCTGTACTCCATAGGATATAGCCCTTCAATAGAAAAGATATAAATCTGAAACAGAGAATAGATAGGATTGTAAGCTCCCTGCAACAGAGAATAGATAGGATTGTAAGCTCCCTGCAACAGAGAATAGATAGGATTGTAAGCTCCTTGCAACAGAGAATAGATAGGATTGTAAGCTCCCTGCAACAGAGAATAGATAGGATTGTAAGCCCTGCAACAGAGAATAGATAGGATTGTAAGCTCCCTGCAACAGAGAATAGATAGGATTGTAAGCTCCCTGCAACAGAGAATAGATAGGATTGTAAGCTCCCTGAAACAGAGAATAGATAGGATTGTAAGCTCCCTGCAACAGAGAATAGATAGGATTGTAAGCTCCCTGAAACAGAGAATAGATAGGATTGTAAGCTCCCTGCAAACAGAGAATAGATAGGACTGTATGCTACATGCTATAGATCTTCAGCAAAGGGTTTCAGGCCACCACATATAATCCTGCAGCAAAGATTAATGAGATCTGTAGACCACAAGATGTAACCCTGCAGCAAATTTTAGTGAGATCTGTAGGCCACACGATGTAACCCTGCAGCAAAGATTAATGAGATCTGTAGACCACAAGATGTAACCCTGCAGCAAAGATTAGGGAGATCTGTAGGCCACAAGATGTAACCCTGCAGCAAAGATTAGGGAGATCTGTAGACCACAAGATGTAACCCTGCAGCAAAGATTAGGGAGATCTGTAGACCACAAGATGTAACCCTGCAGCAAAGATTAGAGATCTGTAGGCCACAAGATGTAACCCTGCAGCAAAGTTTAGTGAGATCTGTAGGCCACAAGATGTAACCCTGTAGCAAAGATTAGGGAGATCTGTAGACCACAAGATGTAACCCTGCAGCAAAGATTAAAGAATTGTAAGCAGTAAAATATAGCCCTTCATCAAATGATAGATCTGTAAATCATGCGATATAGACCTGCAGAATAGATAGAAATTTAGGCTATAATATATAACCCTGCAATAAAGAACAGAACTGTAGGCCACAAGATATATCCCTTCAACAGAAAATAGATAGGATAGATTACAAAGGCTCGTTTTTGTGGGATAATACCTAATTTACCTTAACATGTCACATTAACTTTTCGGAAAAGATATATATATATATATATATATATATATAAAGGTAAGGTTAACCTTTTGGTCAGTTTTGTATTTGCAAGGTGTACCTAGTTTAATAACTATATGCATACACTGGACAAAGATACAAATATAGTTCTGATTAAATTACCTGATGAATGATGCAGTAAAACTTGACATGTTACATCAGGTTTCTCTTGTTAACTGCACTCCTTATCCTAAAAGTTGCTATAGTAACTATGTTTTATCTATCTTTGTCTATTGTCAGCCTTTGACCATGTTGTCAAGCTCCAAATGTCACCTGACATGGAAATATGGACTGTTATTGTTGCTAATGGTCAAAGAAACCTAAGTTTGGTTTTCATTCAATGACTAAACTCTATTTCATCTTTTGCTGTTCACTTCTGACTAAAAGATTTACAGCTGCATAGGTTTACTCAGGTTTTCCTATGAGCAAATTATACTTATAATGTCCTCAGGTCCTAGAAACTAAAATCTTTATTTATAATATAAAATATGTCATTTGAATTAGTTGTTGAATTTGCAAATTAGTCAATTCACACTATGATTCCAACATTAGACAAAAGCAATACTCTGTGTTTATGAATATAAATAAAGTGTTCAACAGTGAAAAATATATACTTAAAGTGTTGTAGATGCATGCAAACATAAGTATGAAATTTACAAAAAAATAAAATGAAAAAAATAAAACATAATCAAAAACAAATAAAATAAGCCTGATTATAATGCTATCTGTTATAGTGAAAAAAACTTTTGAAAACCACTAATTTTAGCATGTCTAAAAAATATATGTTGGTGTTTCATCTCAAAGATAACAAAAGACTAAAACATCTTGGGTGATTAGTGAAGATTTATCTGTATATATCCTGTGCAAAAATTAAAAAAAAGGTTGATGCTAGCCTATTCAGTTTTTTAAAATGTTTCTTTTCTTTTTATAGATTTTGGATAAATATTCAACAATTTTTATTTAGATGCATGCAACATTCTTTCCTGTGAAAATATCTTACATTTCAAAATTCTAAATGGCTGTAATGTAGCTTCCTTTGTGTAATCTTTGTATATTGATTTGCTGAAATTTAAAAAGACACATGTGAAAACACACTGTACACATATTTTGACAGAATTTATAAAAATACATTATAAAATGTGAAATATTTAGAGGCTAACACATACACAGAAAGCCATGCACACATACATACACAGAAAGCCATGCACACATACATACACAGAAAGCCATGCACACATACATACATAAACATTTTTTATCACTGTATCAATACTTCTTCGCAATTTCAGTTGCAAAAATGATCATAATATGAAAGAAATAAATGACCCTAATATAGATAAACCATATGTTTAAACATAAATATTTGTATTTGTATATACAAGTGTATATAGCCATGTGTGTGTGCTGGCATAAAAATATATAAATATATAAGTATATACATTTATAAGTATACATATTTACTTATATTTTGATTTATATTTATTTTTCTCACATATATCTAAATGAAATCTTTATCTATTGATATATATATATGTGTGTATATAATTATAGTCATTAAAAACATGTATGTGTATGTTTGAATACATTTTAATGCATTCATATACTAATATATAAATACAATCAAGTATGCATATATAAACATTCATAAATGCCTATATATGGTCATATGCATATATGTGTGTTTGTTGTGTGTGTATATATATATATATAGACATGAGGCTAAGGGGTTAGAACATTTGTTTTTTGACCATGTGACCCAGGTTTGAATTTCCCCATGTTTGATTTGTCAGGAAGGTGATTTCTTGATGTTATTGGGGAGGCAATCACAGTTTGTGACACCTTTGGAAAGTGCATGAAAACCATACCACAGGTTAACCCAAGACTTGTTAAAGAAATTGGGTAGACAGAACTATTTGGGAGCCATCAATGGTTGTGTTAGCACAAAATCACAAGTCATCATGTCTGAGGCTTTGAACATACTGACCTTGTTCAAACTGTTGATCATGCCAGATAATGCACACTCTCCTAGAAACTGTAACTAAGGTCTATTCAGCATATTTGCAGTATCAAACAAACACAAAGAAAAAAAATCACACACGGTGAGGTCTGGGAATCTTGCAGGCCAAGCCTAAAGAGCAAGGTCTTGGTAGGTTCCTGAATGAGGCGTAGTCTGCAAGGTTTCAAATGTAGATGTCTTCTTAACACATGCCAAATAGTGGATTGAAAGATCGTAAGTTCAGGGCTAGTTCAATTTGTGGATTTCTGTAGACTACCCTCAAACACAGCATGGATTCTTGCCACTTGTTCTGCCAAAACTTGTGGTCGTCCTGGACTTTTTCCTTTAGACAGATACCCTCTCTCTTGAAACTGTTTAAACTACCATTGAATGTTCTTAGGAGATGGTGGATTAATGTTGAATTGCCTTTGAAAAGCATGCTGCATCATGACAACTGTATTTGTTTATGTAAACTTCAGAATACCAAACGCCTTTTGCTGAGGACTTGTCGTTCTGGGAGTAAACAAACAACTGAATGTTGTCAGAGATATGATGTCACTACAGCACTGTGGTAGCCATTCAAAAATTAGAAAACTTCTCTTTCAAATGGTCACTGACTCATTCCATGATGAAGCTTGGGAAGGCGTCATGAAATCAGTTCATTCCTTTTGAATAACCCTGTATTAAAAAGTGACTTAAATTGAAAAGGTCCTACTAAAGAAAAATTCAGTCTCTGACAGGAATCAAACCTATATCCCTTTTTTTTTTATTTCAGCGAAACCACTTTTTAAGCCAAAGCATGCCTCTACCAGTTTGGTGACAGAGCCTAATTTACAGGACAAAATCAAAATAACCTGTTAAAGAAGACATGTTTATATCATTGAGACTTGTATGAATGTAATATCTCCTAGCTTCAATTTTGTACTCGAAATGTAAACAACAGTAAGAATTGGCTAGATGTAATTGTAAATTCTATGTTAACAGTTTCTTTTCTTGCACTTCTCGCTTGTGGAACTCCCTTCTAGCTCCATGCTTTCCAGACAACTTTAATCTTCAAAAATTTTAATGCAATGTCAATCACTTTCAACTCTCCTTTTGATTACTCTTCTTTCATTCTTGCTCCTTAGTAATGTTTCTTTTTTCTAATTCTTCTACACCAAGTAACCTTTTGTGTATTAGTGGTTTTTACTGCCTTACTTGGGGTAAATTCTCTATATATATACATACATACATACATATATATATATATATATATATATATATATATATATATATATATATATATATATATATATATATATATATATATATATATATGGTATTACACATATGTATGTATGTTTATGTGTGTACATATAAATTTAGTCATGTAAAATATGTATATAAATATATTCATAATTATGAAGAGAACCTGTGGAATATACACTTTTCCTGACAAATATAAAGCTTACATATTTGTGTAATTATTGTGAAAATTTTAATTAAGGAATTCATTATATGAAGGATGCATAATGAATTTCTGTGCTTCAGATAATTAGACATGGCCCAACAATAAATGTCAGTTTAAAAGAAAAGTTAATGATATTTATCATTACTTTATGTCTTTAAATAAAAATTGAAACTGCAAATTACATTTTCTCCACATAGCTTCAAGTGATTAGATATATCTGCATGTATGGTAGAATTTTATTTATGCTCTATATTTTCATCCATTTAAGTTTCAATTGAATTCCTTTTTATGCACATCATTTTTAAAAAAAATTTTTGTTTCTATTTAATTAAATAGAAAAGAAGAACTGAACAGAGGCAAAGGGTTAATGTTGTTGTTATTAAACATCATCAACCCTCTACCAAAAAATATTTTTACTTTAATATTTAGCAAATGGCAAGTAAAATTTTCATGATTATCAAGTAACTTTCTGAATACCTCTATCAAGTAATTACAAAGAGTTTCTGGTTTTAGTAATAATATTTGTGTGAATTATAAGCCCTTTTATTTGTTTACTGAAAATAAAAATAAACCTATTTTTTGCATAATAAACTTTTTAAACTTACAAATTTATTTTTAATATTGACTGTTTAACTTGATTTTTCAAAACAAAGCCTTTTGTTTTTCATTTTTATTTATCCTATAAAAATAAGAAAGAACACTCAGGATAATATATAGCAAGAAAATTAAGAACTAAATGATATATTTATAATATTTTGAATGCAGTATTTGAAAACCTTATGGTACTAATGCTAGGACAATACCCTATAATACTAACAGGGGATTAAGCAGG